GAAGAGGTTCTAACGAAAGCCTGGGGGAAAACGGAGCTGTTCTATGAAAACAAAAGGGTATATTTCGATCACAATTATGTACCCGATGTTCTTCAGAAGCGGCTGGAGTGCAAAGAAATGAAACAGATGCTGAAAGAAAAGAACATAAAATTTAAAACACCTTTTCCAGCCAAACTAAATGTTTTTTTCGAATCAGGTGCCCAAAAGAATAACTGTGCTGCAGAAGCAACTAAGGACTTAATACGCCGAGGTCTGATTGCAGGTGGGGCCAGAGCGATGGCTGCAGCGAGGTCCATGGAGGAGCAGATCAGACAGGGCTCCTGGCAGCAAGCGCACGGCCACAGGGAGAGACGCAAGGAGGAGACACTGACAGAGGAGCAGTACAAGACACTCCAGGCTTTCTGCCGCCAAACTTCTCCAAATGACTGAGTCTGGGAGTATTACCCTTCCTCAAAACTAAAGTATCTGCTTATCTATTGGATTAATGTAATAATTTACTGTAAGGTTTCATCCCCTTTATTCCCTTCGAAAAGTACCAGTTTCAATTAGTTGTGTAGTAAAATCAAGAAATGTATTCGTGTTTTGAAATATAAGTTTGGTTGATGTGGAGAAATTACTTGATAAAAGTTAGATACAGATTCAAAGTTAGACACTGTACTTCTAGGAATTGTAAAAGGGAACTTAAACCATTAGAGAAATACGTTTATAGATCTATAGAAGACCTACTGTAGGTCTATTTGAAGGATGGAGGGATATATACCCTACAGGAAGGGATTATACACATTTTTCTGCACCTCATAATTCATATGGTAGAATAGATTATTTTCTTATGTACAAATTAGATAGATCAAGAATAAAGGACTGTGAAATTGGAACCTTGGATTATTCTGATTTTAGAGTTAAATCTGGTAAAAAAGCATACTGCTTGGAAGATGAACTGTAGTGTTCTGAATGATAATGATGTTAAAGAGCTTTTATCATTTTGTACAGTTTTTACAGAACAATGATACAGGAGAGGTTTCCCCAGCAATACTATGGGATACAGCTTAAGCTGTACTTAGAGGGAAACTTATTTCCATTTGTTCATATAAAAAGAAAGTAAGACAAACTGAATTAAGCAATTACAATCCGAATTAAAAACTATAGAACAAAAACATAAAAAACACCCACTTGTACAATACATAAACAACTATTGAAAGTTAGGGAATAAATAAATAAATGACAAATTATAGTGATAGAAACAAAACTAAAATTTAAAGCAAAGTTATTATGAAACAGGAGCCAAATCAATGAAATATTAGCAAGAAGATGACGTAAACAACAA